AAACCACGACAGGGCACTGAGCAGGCTGAGAACTGGGCCTAAATACCCCTCCTTTAGTTCTGATAGGCTGTAACCGGCCTTTGACCCCAAAGTCAGTTACCAGGTTTCATTTGCATAATTGCTGCTCAGCATTAACCCTTCTGTGGATTAGGTTGCTGCTCGGCACAACTTTTCCTGTGTGGACAGTAAATGTCATTAACCACTTTTCTATAAGTGGATGAATACATGAGACCAGGTTTCATTTGCACAATTACTGCTCAGCATTAAACCTTCTGTGGATTAGGTTGCGGCTCGACACAACTTTTCCTGTGTGGACAGTAAATGTCATTAACCACATTTCTATAAGCGGATGAATACGTGACAGCAGGACCTTGTAAATTGTTAAACTGTGATAAAATGGTTTGACAGATTATGTTGAGACGGCAATGGCATTTCTCGAACTATAACCAATACAATTGGATTAAGTAGTTAAGGTGCTTAAAGTGTTTATTTAATATCAAACAGTTTAGGAAGGTTTGATATAAACTGGGGTTCTTTCAAGCGCCAAGGTACCACACCCTTCTCATCCAAATTGACCACTACCGTATTGCCAATATCATCTTTGTCCAACCTTGACAACAGTGATTTGTTCTTCCAGCACTCTCAGACACTTGGTTTATGTCAAAACAGAGAACACCAGGGAACTCTGTGCATCCTATCCACTATTGAAAATTGTAATTGCTAGACTGGCTTAAAACACTACATTAAAATAATCCATCTTGCAAATTTAAACCAGAAGAACACATTTCAGTGGTGTTCTCTATGTGCGTTTGTCCAGTTTTATTATTTGGGGTAACTCAAAAGAATAAGAGCAGGATCGACCATAAGGCGACCATAGGAGCACTCTAGTGTCCAGAGATTAGACAGAACCATGAATTTGCTTGGCCCCATTTCCCATATTTACGTGAAGAATGGGGGAAGGAGGGACAGTAACCGGCAATGTAGGACCTTAATTCTTCTGTAAATGTCCCTGACAAACTTAACTGGTAATTATTACCTAATAGCACAATACAGTTTTTATCTCGATATTGGGCTAGACATATTACAAATATGTACATAGACATTTAATAAAACATGAAGATTAAAAATTATAATTATATGCTGCATACATGTAATGACACAGTCAATTTGGCTCAATCTCAAAAGGCTATGAATTCTGGGATTGCATTGTGTAGATTATGGAAACACATTGATATCCTACTGAGCAAACCAACATTTATATTTAAAAGAAGTGTATCTTTAAAGGATCAGTATAGTGTCTGTAAAACAAAGCGGTAGTCCACAACATCTGGAGTGCCGAAGATTGCCTATCCCTGCACTAAAAGGTGGATTAACCCTGCTATGTAAACATAGCAGTTTCTTTGAAACTCACATGTGAAGGGTAAAATCTGAGGGGCCTGGCACCCAGACCACTTGATTGAGCTGAAGTGGTCTAGGTGACTATAGTGTGCCTTTAAGAGTAATTTAAAGAGGTCACAGTGCTTTGAGTATGTATGTGCAGCATTTTGCTATTAAACACTGCACATACAGAGTTTAACTCCTTTTTCCACACCCAGCAGTGTCATTGGAGAATCATTACCGCTGGCTAATGTCAAATCTATGAACAGAATGTCATCCATTGGCTGAGAGTGATCAGCTAATGCACTCAGTCAATGAATGACTGACTGTGGCAGCATCTATCTTCAGCAGCTCAGGTAAGAGGGCAAACCTCAAAACAGTTTACCGGGGAACGGAACCAGAGTATTCCATCTATGGAGTAGTATGTGTTGCCACCTTGTAATACACCAAATACAGTTTAATAGAAAACAAATAAGTACACAGTGCACATAAAGTATAGATATATATGTAATAAATGTTGTAAAAAGTACAGATGTTACTAATTTAAAATACAAAACAAAAACAGAACATTCAGTAAGAATGAAGGCTAGCCAACTCACACATTTTGATTATGTCCCATACAATTTCTCTTAGTGCCCCTGATCACAAAATTTTGATGAGTTTCAGTGCATTTTAGCCATACAACAATGCATAAGCAGTGCTCAGTGTATGGCAGCCCTGTTTGGCAGGTAAGCCTGTCATTATGGTGTATACGTACGCGGATGACAAGTCCCCTTTCCATACACACCGTATGTTTGTGACACTAATTATTTCACTGATATGCCCGTTTGCCAATTCTGCCCTCTCCATCCCTCTTCCAATATCAGACCTTCCAATGTTCACAGGTCTGAGAATGGCTCTAAACTCACATATACATTAACCATAAAAATAGGCTCAATACGGAAAGCAGACATATTCAGGTAACTCTAATTCTCGTTCAGGTATTCATATAGAGATCTCACTGCCAGATCTCTTGCACAGTCACTGCCATATATACCTACCTTAAATCTACAGAGAATTTTAATGCAAAAAAATAAATAAATCAAACAACCCCAAAGTGGCAGTAAATGAGAAAGCAGGTTTCTTTGTTTTTAATCACAAACATATCTGTCTATTAACCCCTTAAGGACCGAGGACGGTTCAGGACCGTCATCGGCATTTTTGGCTTGCCGACCGATGACGGTCCTGAACCGTCCTAACGGTCAGAGCTACTTACCTGATCGCCGTCGTTCCCCCGGCGGCGATCAGCGTGGCTCCGGTTGTGGGGAGACTGCCTGCAGCCCAGGCAGTCTCCCCACGGCAGATTAGGACCCCTGGGGCCATGTGATCGCTTAACACAGCGATCACATGGTCACAATAGGTGTCCTAGTGTCTGCCTGCAGGGGGGCTGCCTGTGCTGACAGGCAGTCTCCCTGCATGTGTAAAATAAAAAATAAAAATAAAGTTAATGTTAATAAAAAATAAATAATTATATATGTGTATATATGATATATAGACATATATTATATCTATATAATATATGTCTATATATCATATATATATAATGTCATACTAAGTGTATTTTTATATTAATATGTACTTATATTAATATAAAATACACTTATAATTAAATTACACACGTATATATATAATATATATAATAACTATATATATTGTATATATATATTATTATAAAATATAAATAATAAGTAATTTAAATTAAATAAAAAAATTTTTAAATAATAAAAAATTTTAAAAAAATTATATAGCTATATGAAATTTTATTCTAACTGTATTTTAAAATTAATATATATATATTTATATCAAAATACACTTAGAATGAATTTGTATATATATCTATGTATATAAAAATAAATAAAAATAATAAGAAATATACATACGTCCATATACAAAATTACATAAATAATTATATAAATATACACGTAGACTTCAAATATATAAATATGCATATATATTTAAATTCTACGTGCGTATTTATGTAATATTTTTACATAATTCAGTAATTTTATTGATTGCAATTTGAGGGACCTGCCTGCCAACCCAGGCCGAAATTCCAGAGAATTTAATTTGCTAGCACTGTATTTTACCCTGTAACGTTCTACGACACCTTAAAACCTGTACATGGGGTGTACTGTTTTACTCGGGAGACTTCGCTGAACACAAATATTAGTGATTCAAACAGTAAAACATATCACAGCGATGATATTGTCAGTGAAAGTGACTTTTTTTGCATTTTTCACACACAAACAGCACTTTTACTGATGATATAATTGTTGTGATACGTTTTCCAGTTTTTAAACACTAATATTTGTGTTCAGCGATGTCTCCCGAGTAAAACAGTACCCCCCATGTACAGGTTTTATAGCATTTTTGAAAGTTACAAGGTCAAATATATGGGTCAAATATTTTTACATTGAAAATGGCCAGGTTGGTTACGTTGCCTTTGAGAGCGTATGGTAGCCCAGGAATGAGAATTACCCCCATGATGGCATACCATTTGCAAAAGAAGACAACCCAAGGTATTGCAAATGGGGTATGTCCAGTCTTTTTTGGTAACCACTTGGTCACAAACACTGGCCAAAATTAGCGTTCAATTTAGTTTTTTTACTTTTTTCACACACAAACAAATATGAATGCTTACTTTGGCCAGTGTTTTCGACTAAGTGGCTACTAAAAAAGACTGGACATACCCCATATTGAATACCCTGGGTTGTCTACTTTAAAAAAAATATGTACATGTGGGGTGTTATTCAGAGATTTATGACAGATAATAGTGTTACAATGTCACTATTGATACATTTTAAAATGTATGTTTTGAAACCGCAATATCCTACTTGTACCTATAGCCCTATAACATGCAAAAAAAAGCAAAAAAGCACGTAAACACTAGGTATTTTTAAACTCAGGACAAAATTTTGAATCTATTTAGCAGTTTTTTTCATTCGCTTTTGTAGATGAGTAAAAGATTTTTCAAGTAAAGTAAAAAACATGTATTTTTTTCAATTTTTCATCATATTTTTTTATTTTTTTTAAATTAAAATACATGAGTTTATATAAATAATGGTATGTAAAGAAAGCCCCTTTTGTCCTGAAAAAACAATATATAATTTGTATGGGAACAGTAAATGAGAAAGCGGAAAATTACAGCCAAACACAAACACCACAAAAGTGTAAAAATATGCCTGGTCGCAAATGTACAACATCGCAAAAACAGTCCAGTCCTTTAAGGGGTTAAAGGTATATGTTTACCTTTGTGTGTGTCAGTGAAAATTTGCTAAATTATAAAAAAAAAAAAAAAAAAGGCAGCAATATACACCTTAACATCCCATTCCCTAATTATTATTATTTTCTGTTCAGCATAATGTTTTGTTTATGGCAGAAATTACCTGATAGAGCCCTTCCCAGACTGAACTTATGGATGGGCCACCATTGAGGTGATGGCAAACATTAGGCTCTGTCCCCACTCTGCTATATTATAATATTGAATAGCTACTAGATATACTTACCAACTCCCAATGTCTAACCTGGACCATGGTCCCATGCCATGAAATGCGAGCTCGGTTTCCCGCGCTTTCCATCACGTGATGCGTATCCGCTCCAGCTCTATAGACAACACGAGTTCACGCCTGGAGATAGCGAGCTATTCGCTGATTGGACGACGACCTGTTGGTCTCCAGGGGAAGCCGCGCGACACAAGCCGCACGCGAGTCCCCAACTTGTGCCGCTTACAAAGTCGCTATGGAAGCCGCCAGGGTCCAGTGTGGCCTCCGCGCGGGCCTCGCCAGCGCTGCAGGAACGTGACAGTTGGTCAGTTTGCGCAGAATGTGGGCGGTGACGCAGGGGCGCCTCGTGGGCCAGGGCCTTAAAACTCGGCATCTGATTGGACAGAGTTTGGAATTTAAAAACGCGCTGTTCGGGAGCGCTGAGTAACGGTTCCATAGATCGCCAGGAACCCGGCCAGGGAGGATCAATCGTCATTTAAACTGAGGGCGATGACCATCTCAAGGGGCTTGTAGGGAGACAGGGGTGTGAAATACACCGAATTAAAAGAAGGGCAGCTTTGAAATCTTACAACAGGCTGTGGCTTAAAATAATTGGGGATCAGATCTCTTAGGAAGTCAGTGAAGTGTGTGATCTGATGTGTTAAAACTAAATTTAATAGCCAGGGAGGAAAATATAGAAATAGGATCTGTGAAGAAACGATTCACATTAGACCAAAGGATATATATTTTATAAGACAGGTGGGATGCCATCAGATGACCATAGAAGGAGGAGATCGGGGGCTTAGACTTGTCATAGATGTACTGTAATGGAGAGAGAGCCATCTAAGTGACTGTTTTCATATGATTTATAGAGTCTTTAAATTCTGTATGTGTTTGTTGTGAAGGCAAGTTTCATATTCAAAGTCATTTAAGTCTAATTACCTCGTTACTGTTAGGAAAATAACAAAATAAATGTAAAGTTTAGAAGAACGGCAGTAAAAAGGATTTCAATTAAGGAGATCTGGTAATATTTCTCGTACCGGCCAGGCAGGAGTACATCCACCCATCGAAGAAGAGTAACAAGAAACAGAAAGTTAGGAAACACTAGTAGTGTGGAAATAGGAAATTGAATGTGACTTGAATTCATATCCTAATCTATATAACTAGAATTTTGGGGGGAAAGCGATGGAGGCAGGTGACTTTGTACCTTCTATTCCCATTAACCCAAATAATTTCCCGGCCAAGCTTTGGCGCCTAGTGAATAGTCCTCTGTACAAGTCCATTTGCTGGGATTCTCGTGGAGAAGGGGTCCTCATAGATCAGCAGCTCTTTGAAGCTGAGTTGCTTTCGGCATCAAAATCAATGAACGAGTCCAATGAGCTCTTTAAAACATCCAATTTCACCAGTTTTATACGTCAGCTCAATCTATATGGCTTCAGAAAAGTGATGTTGGGTGGTGGTAGCAACACTGGCTCGTTTCATCCCGGCGGAGACTTGGGTGCTGGTGATGGGCAACTTCATTACTTTCACAACATCTACTTTCGCAAAGACAATCCAGACTTGTTGGTCAATCTAAAAAGACTGACCAGCACTAACAAGGCTAAGCTAGCAGCTGGTCTCACAGTTAATTCAAGGCCTCCAAACCGCTTTCAAAGACTGCTCACCAGCTCTCTGGAGCAAAGTAAGGTTGAAGAGCAGGGTAAGTTTATGGAATTGATTGGATTAAACAACACGTTTGCTATCCAAAATTAAAGACCATAGTTACAATTCTTTTTTCTGCACAGTGTGTGCAAGTTGACTTTAAAGGATCACTATAGGGTCAGGAACACAAACATGTATTCCTGACCCTATAGTGTTAAAACCACCATCTAGCCCCCCTGAGCCCCTCATGCCTCCATAAATATAGCAAAATCTTACTGTACTCAAGCCAGAAGCTGTAACTATGCATGCTATTTGCCTAAAAAATAAACAGCAGTCTGTTGACATCATCAAAAGTGGTGGCCAGATCCAATCACAGTGCTTCCCCATAGGATTGGCTGAGACTGACAAAGAGGCAGATCAGGGGCAGAGCCAGCACAATTCAAACACAGCCCTGGTCAATCAGCATCTCCTCATAGAGATGAATTGAATCAATGAATCTCTATGAGGAAAGTTCAGTGTCTGCATGCAGAGGGAGGAGATACTGAATGCTTGGATGCATTTTAGGTAGCCATGACCCAGGAAGGATCTCTAACAGCCATCTGAGGAGTGGTCAGTGAAGTTATCACTAGGCTGTAATGTAAACACTGTATTTTCTCTGAAAATACAGTGTTTACAGCAAAAAGCCTGAAGGTAATGATTCTACTCACCAGAACAAATTCAATAAGCTGTAGTTGTTCTGGTGACTATAGTGTCCATTTAAGCAAAACAATACACTGTGTAGTTTATTTTTGTTATTACTATTACATAATACCATAAACATAAAACATATGTTTCTTTGTGGGAAATGGACATCATATCAGTGTGTTTACTGCTCTGCAGTAGCTCACAATATGAGCACTCATATGCACTAGCCTCCCATCAAGATTGATGATCCCAGCCAAGGAGGTGGTGCCAGCCGCGGAGAGAGTGGTGTGGGTTAAAGGGTAAGTAATAGTTTGGTAACCCATGTGGTGGGGGCTGGTCACCTACATTGTGATTAGGACACTATTACGTTTGGAGCACACAAGTGTTCCTTAAAATATTCACCCCCTCTTCAGCATTCCAGGAACATGATCCTCAGTCCGTGAAAAAAATCATATCTCACCTCCCCTAGATATGTATTTAGCCCTGCTTAGAGATTCTTCATCAAACAAGGCAATCCTTCCTCAAGCTGCCAATATGCTGGTGTTCCTGCCAGTACACCAGTGTCAAAATACTGCAGCATCTCATGCTTGCTAAAGGAATATCACACTAACTAGAGGGCCTGCTGTTATGGAGAGCTCGAGAACCACCTGTAAGAGGGTTCACCTGCTCTCCTCTGTCATTCATTCCTTGGCTTAGTTCTCTATGCTAAAGAACTGATTCACAGGCATACTTGTATATTACTCTATTAAAAACATACATACATTTGCTAGCAATTCTGCTGACACAATGTATAGATACAATTTGTTGCAGTTTCATTTACTATTACATAGTGGTTACTGTAACTAATAGACTTTAACCCCTTAAGGACACGTGACATGTCATGATTCCCTTTTATTCCAGAAGTTTGGTCCTTGAGGGGTTAAAGGGGATCTACAGTGTCCCCCTCCCGCAGCGCTGAATGGGTTAAAACCCCTTCAGTCACTTATCTGAATCCAGCACCGATGTCTCTTGGCGATGGGTCAAGCTTCGCCCATACACCTCATACGTCGGCAGGGGAGACCTAATGCGTTTGCACGACATTGAGGGCATTAATCAATGCTTTCCTATGGGAATTCTGGTGACGCTGGAAGTCCTCATGCATAGAATTAGGACATCCAGCGTCATTTAGACAACCAAATTCGTCCAAGCACCTTGAAGTCCCTCTAGTGGCTGTCAGGTAGACATGTCAGAATGTCATGTTAAATAATTTTAGCCCTCATAGTGCCGTATATTATGTGGGCACATTCCCACATATGCCACTATGGAAGAAATGCCACAGTTAAATGGGACAATTATGTTGCCCTGAACGCATAAGTATGTATGGATGTAATTTCCTGGTTCTGTGTCAAAGCATTTTCAATTGGTTTGGTAAACGATGAGGGTCGCCCAAACACCTGTTGACCAGTCCTTTGTTTGCCATATTGCAAATGTGATATTTACACTTAGAATTTTTTCCATTGTTGTATGACAGTGATAAGCTGTGAGTGTCAGTTGACAAACTGAATCTATCATTGCCGTCCATCTACAGACAAAATGCATATTGCTAAATCAGAAATGTAAATTAAGGTGTGGTAATCATACCAGAATAGGTGATTCTTTATTTTCCTTTCTCTTTTACATGAGCAGCTTTTACAATCATGGTTTGAGGGCATTACTGGCATAATGCTTCTTACCTGTTTACTGAAAATCCCTTTGCTTCCTGCATTGAGCAGAGCCATAACGTCCTGGACGTTTTACTTGCATTTGCAGGTTATGGAAACTCTTAAAATCAAATATGTTAATTGGCTCCTCTGAGTTTTCCTGGACTCTTCTATCTTAGCCTTTCATTCTTCTGTTTATGTCACTATGGCATATCTAGTGACCAAGGAGCGGGAAAAGCCTGGCAAAGTGCTTTTTAAAGAGGATTTCTTATTCTTTATGACATGATTGCACTCTGAGAGTTTATTGGTTGATTAGACTGTTCCAATGGAGAGTTAAATGGACATTCTAAGCACCAAACAACTTTAGCTTAATGAAGTAGCTTTTTTGTATAAACCATACCCCATGCATTCTCGCTGCTCAATTTTACCACTACATGATGCTTCATATTTTGCATAAACCTTCTTTACTTAAAACTCCAGCAGCATAGATCAATCATAAAATTAAACCAATCAGAAAACAAAGAGTTATGTACAATAAATAGCCTTGTGTTGCTTGACTCCTCCTCTTTCTTTGCTGCTCCTGCTGTGCACAGGCCAGAGTATTGAATATCCTACTTTTATTTGATTGTTTTATACTGTTCTCCTATTGTTTTACCATCTAAGTTGTACCTATTTGTTATACCTTTTTATTGCCTTTCTCACAGTCCCTGCTACTCCTTCCTACTAACATTTTTCACCTTTTGATGTTTAATCACCCTTCTGCTACTCCCTGCCTGTCTGTATCTCCTGACACTTCGTGCCGTGGCCGGCTCGTCCTCGCGCATGGCGCGATTCTGTTTTTCCCCTTATTGTGCTTTACTGTCTGGGCTGGCGGTGTTTGGGTGGCAGGGACCCGGTTACCACATTCTGCAGGAATTGTTTTCCGCATGTCCTTGTTCGTGGTGGCCATCTTGGATCTCTTCTCAGGCGGACATACACAGCCTAACCGCAAGCCTGCTTCTGTGACAGGATCATCTCCAGGATTAACCCCTGCGCTGCTTTTAGGGATTCCTCTGGTGGTGGTCTTTGCCGTACTATTAGGGTGAGCCCTTTTATTCTGAGAACTATCTAAGTATTCTGAGGGCATTACTAGGTACCATAATCCATTTGGGAATCCCACCTGCTCATACTGACGGTCTAGATCAGCTTGCCTGGTACCTCCCGCCTGGAACAAACAGGGTTAACACCTGCATTTCTGGAGGCTTTCAGCACCCCCTTCTGCTTCAGGGTGAAAGTCCCTGACATATTGGCCGCTCTCCACGACCGGCAGTGAAGGGTGAACCCTGACACTCTTTTATCGACACTGTCATCCATGTAGGTGTCTCTGTGTTTGGCACCACATGGTTGGCGTACCCCGATTGTACTACTAGGGGAATCCCCTTAAGGCTTTGTCTGCCTGCACCGATTCTAATTCATGTCCTCTCCTCCACAGGACAATCCCGACTCTATGATTAGTGACACGTCACCACAAACCCAGGATGTTCAGTCCATGATCAACGCTGCAGTGCCAGCATTTGTGGAGAAAGCCCTCTCCAAAATGCTCACACAACCTCCTCCTGAGGTAACTGCTCCAAACACGAACATGTCCCCTCCACAGGACGAAGATGCAGGGGGTTCTGAGGTGTCCGCTAGAGATCTTCTTTCCATCTTCAAACACCACCGGACGGGTGTCTCGTTCTCAGTCAGGCCTAAAGGGAAGGAGGCAGCCAAGCGCACTAAATGGGTGACAAGACTTGAACCCCTTCCTCCCATGCTTTCTTCTGCAGAGGACAATAACTACCCTATCACACTGGATGTCCTGAATGAGTGGCGGGAGGACGATTCCAAATACATGAAAGAGTCTTTTGCATCCAACCCCTCCCCACAGGGGATATCACAAGACCTCTCCTCCCGGGAGACAGATGGCATATTCCTGGACACCCACGGATGTCCTTTGTTCGATCCTCGAACCATCAGAAACCTGATGTCTTCGGACTGGAGTCTACCGCACCACCTGGCGCAGTTCGTGCATTTCTGGATGCGCAAACCTCTAGAACGAAAGGTCAGGGTTAGACTAACTACGGGCTGAATGCCCACGACCCTCTCTGCTCGACAAGATTATGATAACGCCTTCCACACATTGATACTGTACATGGGTCCTCTCCTGATAGACCTCTTTGCTTCGCAGATGAATTGCTTCCCGGATTCTTCAGTTGGCTTTCGATCCTAAAATGCGAAGCAGTGGACGCATTTCTCCAAGTGTGGCCGACCCAATGGGCATAAGCGTTCGCTTCTCTTGCTCATTCCTCTATGGCCGAGCTGGTTTCCGGACCTATTGGAACTCTTTCACTCTAACACCCTCTGCTCTTGCCTACCTTCCCATTCCTCCAAGGGGAGACGCATCCATTCATACTTCAAGACAGCTCCAACTCAGGGCCTGGATGTTTTCAGGGTATCATGGGCTATCGATGGACTATTGCAAATGGGTAAGGACCTGCTGTTGGATTTGTGGGCTCCAGGCACTAGACGGTGTTACCTTGCAGCATGGAACAAATGGTCTAGCTGGTGTCTGGAGACTCAGATCCCTTTACAGCCCCAGTTACCTTAGTCTTGAATTTCCTCTCTTCCCTTTTTTCGTCATGTTAATCCTACCGTTCGGTTAACGTTATCGGCAATCTTGGCAGCTCACGTTCCTACTCCAGGACGCCCAGTTGAACAGGATCCCTTGGTTTGTTGCCTCATGAGAGGCATACAATTATCATGAACCCCTGCTCTGAAGTATTTGCGTCTCTTAAGGACTTGCCAGACAACGCATCGCTGTTTTTACGCCAACTATCGGCAATACTAACTTTATTGCTATGTCTGGTTTCCTTCTGTCAGATATCTGATGTTAGGGCTCTTGACGTGGACGGTTTATCTTTCTTACCTGAGGGTGTTTCCTTTTCGGTATCTCATCGCACAAAGACAAATTCTTTTATCCGTTTTTTCCTTCTGCTCCCCATCTGTGTGTAGTTAAGACTTTGTGAAGGTTACCTCTTCACTTCACCATTCTGCTTTGGGATAACTACTCATATCTTATGTACAGCCAAATAGACACGTTTCATCTACAACTCTCGCGCAATGGTTTCGATGGCTGTTGTCTCTAGCAGGCCTCAAATCCTCATTCAGAGCGCACTCTATACGTGATGCAGAAGCGATGCAAACTTTTTCGTCGACTGACATTATGCGTTCTGCTGACTGGGCTCGCGAAGATACGTTCCAGATTTTCTACTTCCGTCCTGCTTCTCATACTTCTTTGGCTCTTCTTTCATAGCATTAAAAATAAAAAATATGAAGCCTCCTGTCATGTGGTAGATTATGCTAACGTAGTGTACCTATAATCTTAATTTTAGTAATGACAGGAGGCGAATATTTCCCTCGTTTCCACCCCTCTCTTTGTCTGTCTCTTTATTTACTTGTATTACTTTGTTCGTTTTCAGTTTACGTTATGTTTCGCTGATCCATATTGGTATTGATTCTTATATATAATCTAGTTGTAATTTAAATAGATTGCTTGGTGTTCATAACTGTTTTGTTGGTCATTTCATTTTATCTTTCACTTCTTTCTGTTCTTTTCAGTATGAAAATTGGCATTATAACTGGGATCTGGACATCATATCGTTCCTGTTAAAGATGTACTTTTGGCCTACCTTTGATTTATATAGTTATTTGGTTCTTCATTGTTGATTCCTGTTTTGTTGGACTATTAGTTCGCTTCACAGAAAGAGGAGGAGTCAAGCACCACAAGGCTATTTATAGTACATGACTCTGTTTTCTGATTGGTTTAACTTTATGATTGATCTGTGCTGCTGGAGTTTTAAGTAATGAAAGTTTATGGAAAATATTTGCCTCCTGTCATTACTAAAATTAAGATTATTGGTACACTACGTTAGCATAATCTACAATTCTCCGCCATTTAAGAGTTAAATTGCTTTGTTTATGCAGCACTAGGCACACTTCCCCTGTCTGAGGTGATCATCATTTAATATATTATTGTCCATACAATGCAAAATGTTTATATAAATAAATGATTCAAATGTTTCCCTGAAAAAGTAATACAAGAACTAAAAAAAAATTTAATCGGTGTAAACGTATACATATACATACGTTATGTCAAAATGTAACTGACAACCATAGATAAACCTCAATATTTTGGTATGTCTATTTCAAGGTGGGATGAAATTCATAATTTACATATATTTTTTTAAATTGTGACTTTGTTATTGCATTAGGTCTGCATTAAAAAAAATAATGCAGATAGTGTCTGCCTCCTTAACTGACATCATCAGAATTGACAATTTCAGCTAATCCAATGCTTTCCTATGGGAAAACATTGTGATTGGCTGAGATCATCACTTCTGATTATGTCAGCCAAGGAGGCAGACACTATCTGCCTCCTGATCAGGAGGCAGATCAGGGGCAGAGCCAGCACCAGGAGACTGGAATAAAAGTAAGATGTTACTATATTTATGGGGAGGGGGCAGGGGGCTAGATAGTGGTTTTAACACTGTTTGATCAGAAATACCTGTTTTTGCTTCTGACCCTATAGTGTTCCTTTAATGTCTCCCATGGGGGCCACAGATCTATACTACCAGATGTTTGCATGAACACACAAATCCATGTTCCTATACACACAGACACATACAAAATATTACACACAGCTACAAACTTCCACACACACAACTGCACATTCCCATACACAAACAATATATATGCTCCTCAACAGCAACCATAGTGTGGCCAAACTCTCAGTGCGGTTGCTTACATGTGTTGTAAGCACTGGTCAGTCTCTTCATTGAAGTTCTGGAATGCAACAGCAGAATGGCGTAATTTTACTAATGAGGCTGGACGCAGCACACACCTCGGGCAAACACAGCATGCCAGCCAGCAAGCCAACACAACCACAGCAAATTAGGGTGAAAATGCAGACCTGGTAATCCAGGGCACATACAGAAATGTGTGTATGGGACTCAGACAAACCTCTCTACTTTAGAATAGGTGTCCACGGCCACATTAGAATTTTACGAGGGCCTAAATTAGCCCACTGCCTGTAATTTGAGCCTACTAACTTAGAGTCTTCAAGTTTAAATAAAACTATTTTAAACTTATCATTTTTTTAAACGTACAATGTGCAGCTGGTTGAGGTATTTTGTTATCAGCTTTGCTGGTAAATTAGATAAATGCAAATGTTAAATTAAACTATCACCTGATACAATTTATAGTAATATAGATGAATCATAGATATACTGTTTTCTAATTGTACAGGCCCAGTGACGCTTGGTCAGATTCGCCATCCTATTCAACAAGAAAACATATCTCCATTCTCTGCATCTCATAGCCATATTGGTTTTCCATTTAAAGGCTTGGATCGTACCCCAATTCCTCCACGGACATGGTCAAATCCCTTTGGTCTGCTGCAAGGACAGGAACCCCCGCCACACTTTCCTGAAAAACGCATCCTCTTTCCTATCCTGCAAAGGTTCCCAACTGAAGTGCCATGTGCAATCCCACCTACTGCTACTGCAATGCATGGCCAGCAGGGTCCCAACAACATTTCAGGGGGAATGCAGAAATATGGAAGCTATGCCTCATCCGCTGTGCAGTATCCCCCAGCATACTACCCAACAGGTAAATTCTACTCCTTGGATCATACCTTGGCCATCATGTTTAATTTCACTTTACATGTTTATTCATTATAATAGCTGAAAAAATTATAAATGGCATTAGTTAGCAGTAACCACCCTAAGCCTTTGCTAAGGTGCTATTTATTAGGACCAAGTTCCACTCTCCTGTTTTTTTTGCCTTCTGGAGATCCAGTCAGCTCCTCCACCAGTAGACAGTATGTCTACATTCCAGATCTACCTGGAGTACCTTGGCCAGCCACCATCAAACGTTAGTCACTTTTCACAATTATGAGTGCAAGAGCAGTCAAAATTTATGGATGTGCAGTTGCAGTAAATATGGTCACATTCCTAGGTATAATGTCTTTTTTAATGTGACCATTCTGACATACATATGGGTTCTTGTTGCTGTTGTGCTACAGTTCCTGACAAGTAGTTCCTGAGATTCCTTTGGACTTGAAGTTACCAACCTGATGCCTGCCTGCGTAAAATGCCTCTGTTGCTTGACCCAATATGTTTCTGACTACACTATCAGCCTGACTCCTGTCTCATTAAAATGATATTCTTTCTGACACTCCTGTCTGTCTCAACTGCTGTAATTGTAATCCCAGTCGTCCTGGTGACAGTGCTATTACAGTCTTATAGTGTAAGTTTACTACCCACCCTGCCCTTTGTATACATCATCTGTTCATGAGCCATCAGCAAAGTCCAGGGTCCAGTCCCTAAACTAAGAATTGTGGAGAACTGATGAGGAAATTGCAATTTTAGTCTTAAATACATAATCTGTACAATAACCAAATTGGAAGATTATTCAAATTAATCTAATCTGTTTTAAATTGGCAGTCCCCATGTAGGTTCTTCACAATTCCAATTTTAGTGAAAAGCGGATGTAGTCCACATCTTTCTTGTTTTTTCTTGTCGTCCAATACGATATTGCAGATGTATCCTTTTAAAGCTATTTGGTATAAAGAGAATATATTTTTGCTTAATATCTGCCTTTTGTAGTTTGTGTGGCCTGCTTTCTCACAAATAGTTTGCCATTTTAGGTCGGACTGGTCATTTGGGCCATTTGCATATTTTTCACATAATCCACATTTGTGCCTGGTCTGGTAGCTGGCAGAGGATGTAGGAGGAAAGGGGGTGGGAAGACATTGTGCCAAACTAGAATTTAAGATTAAAAGGACCAACTAAATGAGGGGAAGGTTGCATTGATTCCGATTATCATAAGAGGCAGAAAAAATGTAAAAGAAATGTTGACGTTTTTAAAGGGGCAATAAACAACACACCCACTAGTGCTTATTGTAGGGCTTAAAATGCAAACATATGTGAATCCTTTTGTAGCTCTTTCATGGTTTGTTTGTGTTTTTGTTGTCAGCTATTCTCCAGTGCTACCCATCTCCAGCTCACATGGAATATCTGGCTAGTTGTGCCAACCCTGCTGTGCCTTCATACCAGCATTGTGGCTACTTTCAGGTAAGTGCAAGATTTTATGACAGTTTTTTTATTTAGTTTTAATATCAGGCTGAGTTGTCACATCATAAATAAATATAAAATGTATATCTGAGTCATAAACAGCATAATTAGACATTGTAGAATAGGTACAATAATAGTAATGTGGAGCATATAACATAGGATTTACAAGTAGAACTGGAGAAAAAAGAGGGGGAATCAGGTAAAAAATACAAAAAGCATAAAGCTGGTGTAGAGATATGACCACTGTGCCAAGTGGAAAGGGGAACATTTTAATTATACGCAAAAGGTCACTTTGCAGCTGGCACAACTGCTCCTCTTAAAGCGGCACTGTCGTGGCCGAATCCAATTTACCCCCCGACTCTAATTGTCCCCCTAGTCAGCCCCAAATGCCCCTAAGCCCCCCATATTACGCCATCTTTGCGTGGTCAGATGAAGTCCCTGTGGGACACATAATCTGCCAACACTAGATAGCGCTGTGTTAAACACTTGGGCATTCACTATTGTCCGAAATTTGGACAGGAATTTCATATATTCATTAATTCGTCAGAAAGACAAAGGAATGAATAGAAATTTCAAAAGAACAAACAAACACTGAATATCGGTTTGTTCGTTCAGTTTATTACAAGGAGGGAGCTACTGGCTCACAGCTCCATCCTTATATTATGTAAAAATAGAAGCAGCAGGGAGTAGTGCTCCCCACCACTTTCTAAGCCCCCCCATGTCCTCCCTCACTCTATGAGGGTTAATATGACCCTCACATTAGCATAAGGGAGATTGAAATAATTTGAATGAAATTTCGAACCAAACTTAAAGTACTGAATGTTATCTTAAAGGGACTCTCCAGTGCCAGGAAAACAATCCGTTTTCCTGGCACTGCAGGTCCCCCCTCCCTCCCACCACCCATCCCTGGTTGCTGAAGGGGTGAAAACTTACCTGAGACCCCCGCCGATGTCCCTCGGTGGTGGTTTCGGGTCGCCGCCCTCCTCCCCTTCATCACGTCAGTCGGCGGGGGAGACTGATCCCGCCCGCCGGCTGAGGAGACTTAATGCGCACACGCATTAGAGCTCTCCATAGGAAAGCATTTAAAATGCTTTTCAATGCTTTCCTATGGGGAATTGAGCGTCGCTGGAGGTCCTCACACAGTGTGAGGATGTCCAGCGACGCTCTAGCACAGAAAACCTGTGCTATGAATCAGGAAGTGCCCTCTATTGGCTGTCTGATAGACTGCCACTAGAAGAGGAGTTAACCCTGCAATGTAATTATTGCAGTTTATGAAAAATAATTACAGCTGCAGGATAAGGGGTAGTGGGAGTTGGCACCCAGACCACTCCAATGGGCAGAAATGGTCTGGGTGCCTGGAGTGTCCCTTTAACATGAATGAACAAACTCTTCTCATTCTGTTAGGTCGAAATTCGGTAGTTTCGCTGGCGTTCTGTCTAAATGACAGGATCTTCGGGAATAGTGAAAGCAGGTATCGCAAGATCACATAGGAAAGGTGAGAATTGTGAGAAAATGTATCTGACCCACAATAAGCGGGTCAGAGCAGGTCAAGCGTTGAAAAAATACATAAGATAAAGTAGTCCCTACTTTTTCTTATTTTATAAAGAAAACTAGAGCAGACAGGGAGAAACGGAGAACAGATCCCGAGAGAGGGAGAAAAGAGGAAGCAATTAGGGAAAGGTAAGTTCAGCATGACAGTGCTGCTTTAATTTCAATTACCTAGTTCTCATGAACGCGTTCTTTGAGTTGGGTTTACTATGTGCAGTTTCTGGCATTGAGCTGCATTTGGAACATAATAGTATATTACAATCCCTCTATTCCTTGAGCCACTCACCTTCACTTCTGTGATTTTCTCCATTTGAAAGCATTTCACTTGGCTCCCACCCTTGTTCTGCAATGTCTTACATACATTTTGACAAACTCCCTGACTGACGACAGGAAGAGAGCAACTAGATCACAGCGTCTCTTTTATTTTCTGTGTCCCTTCAAAATCTGTCGGGGGAGTAGATTTTTTGCTTGATTTTTGCTTTTTCTTTTAGCACATTTTTAACGCATTATGTATAATATGTTAGAAGATGCTTCTTCACTCAAGTCAGAAGTATCTTCTCATGGATAAAATGTCAAATTTGGAGTAAAGAAGTGTGTTTTGCGCTTCTAAGAGTTAAATATATATAGCTGATTATTATGCTTTGAACAGAGGGACAATACCAGATGAAATTTTCAATAAACATTCAAATAGAAAACAGGCTCCTGGAGTTCAAGTCTTAAAAAACAGCAAACTTTATTCTCCCCTTAGGGGTTTAAAATCTAATATATATCCAGTCTGGTAGTACAAAGCCTTATCTCAGCCGGTGGTGATGGGGCCTTATGAGAACCCTGTACATTGCAAAGCTCGTTATTATTCACTTGTTTTGTTTATAGTGTCCTCCTGGTTTATACTTTTATGGAGAGCAGTAAAACCGTTGCCAACTAAAACCTACATTGCAAAGCTTCCATTATATCGATTATCCATATTGTGTTTCACTTGCTTAATTGACAGCGCCCGCCCTGCTTATACCTAAATGAGTATCACATGGTAGTCATTGATTAAAAACCAAAAAAGAACAAAGAAAAATACACCAGTTGGACCTACCAGATACATTGGTCCAGGGCTTAACCATTAATTCAAAATTACAATGTTTTGTAGATCCCAATTGTTAAAACAGATACAGTAGTACACAATTCAACCTTATCATAAATAGTCATCCAATACCCATATAGTGTGTACTTTGTAAGTGGTAAAAAATATAGTTCACGAAGTTCCTTCACTGATCTGTCTAGTGAGCACTTAAAACTTAACAGTATAAATAAAATAGTAGGGAACATACAAAAAGGCTTTATTAAAATAATAGCCAAAAGGATCGTATTATAATTATATTGGTATTATGTCCACTTGACATTATAAGTGACATAACATAGGGAGAAAGGCCGATAATGAGCCTAAATATTAGGGATCGACCGATATTGAATTTTTAGAGCCGATACCGATAATCTGTGAACTTTCAGGCCGATAGCTGATAACTTGCCGATATTCTGTACATTTACCATTTTGAAAAAATAAACAATTTCTAAAGGTAGATGCACAAAATATACATGCCACATGTAGTGGATGCAGTGTGTTTAGACAGCGGAGCTGTGTGTGTTTGTGTAGTGTGTGTGTAGTAGATGCAGTGTGTATTTGTGTAGTGTGTATATAATGAATGCAGAGTGTGTGTGTGTTTGTGTAGTGTGTGTATATAATGAATGCAGAGTGTGTTATTGTGTAGTGTGTATATAATAAATGCAGAGTGTGTGTGTGTTTGTGTAGTGTGTGTATAGTGAATGCATTGTGTTTGCGTAGTGTGTGTATATAATGTAGAGTGTGTGTGTGTCTGTGTTTCTGTAGGTATGTAATTTGTGTAATATTGGGGTGGATGGTGGGCATTTTTTCATGTTTACTTGGCCAGGAAGGGGGGATCTGACATTCCCAGGTGGTCTGGTGGCATGGACTGTGCAGTGGGGGCCTGCAGCAAGCTCTTACTTACCTTCCCAGCAGCTCCCCTGTCTACATTTCGCGGCCAGCGTGCCGCGCGGAGCCTTGTCATGGCTCTGATGGCCGCGGGACTCGCGAGAGTTAGACAAGGGAGCTGCTTGGAAGGTAAGTAAGAGCTTGCTGCGGCCCCTCCAGGACCGCCCGGCTTGTAATGGGCCCGGCGGTCCTGGTATGTATTATCGGCAATATCAGTATCTCTATAGGCCGATACCGATATTGCCAAAAATACAGAATATCGGCCGATAATATCAGCCATACCGATAATCGGTCGGTTCCCACTAAATATATAACAGTTATATATGTAAAAAAAAGATATAACAGTTATATTCATATATGAGGGCTATATACAAACAGGCAGTCTAGATGGCCAATCATAGGGTTCCCAGATAGATTGACTAAGGAGGGGTTAACTTTCCTGAGCTGTGGTGGTTTTTTTTCATCTTGCCATTTACATTTGTGGTGTGCGCAACGATCAATTTGTCTTGATAGTTATATTGTACATAACTAAACATGTGATGGTTCTTATATTGACCAATTGGTACCTGCTGAGATAAGGCACTGTATGGAAACTATTGGATGCGTATTGAATTTTAAACCCCAAAATGGGGAATAAAGTGTTCTCTATTGGAAAGTGTTCTTTGAATGACTTACCATCCATATATCTGGAGCCAGAGTGAGTACACAAATTTTTCTATATTATGTATATATATATATTAGAGCGCTACAAGAAAAGGACACCCATGGAGAGGTGGATTTGCGAAGTAATTTCAGTAAGCCCATATTAAATCTTCTGCAGCCACTACAACTGGAAGTTGATTTTTCAGTTCTTTGTTGCAAGTAGTGAGGCTCAGCACAATACTATGTGCTTTGTGAGCTAATGGAATAGGCTCTTAACCAAATTTTAGGTAAACTGTGTGTACATTTGTTTATTACAATATTTTGTTTTAAATATTTTGCTGTTCTTGTTGCAGTCCCCTTCTATGCAATCTTCATACCCAATGGACTTTTTACCTCCGATTTGGCCAACTTTTGATAGTGATGAGTCCAAGAGAGATGACGTGAATTTAGAGGATGTTTTCCAGATTGTTGATGAGCTAAATTCTTCTTCCAAAGTAGAAATAGTGAATGTAGACACTCTAGAAAGTGAAGCTGGGACATTGTCACCATCAAATAAAAATCAAGTACCAGTGACCCTTGACACAAAAGGTATGGGGGACTGTTGCAGTCAAGTTAATCAGCTGGAGCCCCTTACACCTGTACATACTGATATTGCAGCCTATGTGACAGAAGCTGATCCCTCGATTGCTGTTCCTGTACCACAGGCTTCTGATTATGTTTATCCCATCCAGAAAGAAATATGTAATAGAATGTCTTCAAAGACTAATACAGAGGAATCAGAAATATCTATAAAATCGGAAAAAGATGATAATCAATCAGAGCATGCATTAACATTAATAAAGCAAGAATATTCTTCATGCCCTCTCAAGGTAACATTATTTGGTTCTGTAATAAATGGCTTGCCAAAACTTTAATATTGTTAATTGAGTAGCCAAAATTAATACTCAACATTATTTATTTAGCAGAATGGAGATTTGTACTACAGCCAGCTATAGTTATATATTCAAACTGAATGAAAAAGGAAGAGTCACGGTTTATATCAAAATGATAATTTGACATTAAACCATGACGCCGCTCTTAAACACCCTAGGCCCTAGTTTCTCAACCAAGAGGTGGTAGCTCGTGGAGAATGGAGGCGGAGCAGTAATCTTCATGATCTTCTAGAACGGCTCCCTTGCGTGCCCTTTGGTGATGCAAAGAACCAGGTTCTGATGTCACTCTGGCCCTGGCATCACTAAACAGCGCACGAAGGAGCAGTGCTGGAAGAGCACGACGATAACTGCTCCCAACCGCCTCTGCCTCTATTCTCCATGAGACGGCCACCGATTGTGTATGCCCCCTGGGGTACACATACCCAACATTGGACCCAAGACAAAGGATCCCAATTGGTAATTAAAATTATACCAAAAAAAATAATTTGTGTGTGTGAGAGAATTTGTATGTGTCTGTCAGTAAGTGTGTGTCTTCCAGTGAATGTGTGTGTGTGTGTCTGTTTGTCAGTGTGTCAGTCTGTCAGTGTGTCAGTCAGTCATGTGTGTCTGTCATTGTGTGTTTGTCAGTGAGTGTGTGTGCGCATTAGTGCGTAAATTTGTGTGTGTTAGTTCTCTCTATGTGTAAATGTGTTTGTGTCAGTGTCCTCTATGTGTAAGTGTGTATGTGTGTAAATATGTGTGTTAATGTCCACGATGTAAATGTGTGTTTGTCAGTGTCCTCTGTGTGTGTGTCGGTGTCCACTGTGTGTAAATGTGTGTGTGTCCTATGATTGTAACTGTGTGTGTCAGTGTCCTCTGTGTGAAAATGTGTGTGTGTTAATTTCCTCTGTGTGTAAATGTGTGTTTGTCAGTGTCCTCTATGTGTGTGTGTGTCTTTTATACTTCAGATTCATAGTTCATACACTTCTCTTTACAGACACAATATTCACCTTATGTCATATTTAATTAAAACATTTTTTACTACTGTTAATAAGATTTGCTTTTCAATATGGCAGGGCTTCCCAAACTTTTATGGGCTGAGACCCACTTTTGAAAACGGTAATTTTTTGAGACCCACTTGCTTTTAATGCATATTTTAAAAATGAATAAACTTGGCACATCATGACAGCTTTAAAGGCATAAAACTGGCACATCATGGCAAACAGTTATAGAGGCATACAATTGGCACAACATGGAATTCATCTTTAAAACCATACAATTGGCACACCATGACAATTAGCTTTAGAGGCATAACATTGGCACACCATGGCAATCCTTTTTAGATGCATAAAATTGCCACATCATGGCAATCAGCTTTAGATGCATAAAATTGGCATATGGCAGCTTTAGAGGCATAAAATTGTCACATAATTGAAATCAGCTTTAAAAGCATACAATTGGCACACCATGACAATCCGCTTTAGAAGCATAAAGTAGGCACACCATGGCAATCAGTTTTTGATGCAAAGAAATGGCACATCATGGCAATCAGCTTTAGAAGCATAAACTTGCCACATCATGGCAATCAGCTTTAGATGCATACAATTGGCACACCATGGCAACCCGCTTTAGATGCATACAATTGGCACACCATGGCAATCAGCTTTAGAAGCATAAACTAGGCACACCATGGCAATCAGTTTTAGATGCATAAAATTGTCACATCATGGCAATCCGCTTTAGATGCATACAATTGGCACACCATGACAATCAGCTTTAGATACATAGAATTGGCACAGCGTGGCAATCAGGTTTACAAGCATAAACTAGGCACATCATGGCAATCCGCTTTAGGGGCATACACTTGGCACACTATGGAAATCAGTTTTAGATGCATAAAAGTGGCACACCATGGCAGTTTTAGAGGCATACAATTGGCACACCATGGCAATCTGCTTTAGATGGATACAATTGGCACACCATGGCATTCAGCTTGAGATGCATAAACTTGACTCATGGCAATCAGTTTTAAATGCATAAACTTGGCACATTATGGCAACCAGTTTTAGATGAATAAACCTGGCATATCATGGCAGATTGAGAGGCATCGTTTTGGTATATCATGGCAGTTGTAGAGGCATAATTCTGGGATTTGGCAGTTTTAGAGGCTTAATTTTGGTATATCATGGCAGTTTTAGTGGCAGAAACTTAACATATCATGGCAATCTGTTTTAGAGACATACAACTAGTTACTCACAGACTCAGGCAGAATCATAAGCGCTGTGTCCCTCTCTTTCATCCAGACATCTCAAGTTGAGGATCCCAGTGGTAGATCCCCATCTGTCGGAGAACTCCAACAATGCAATCCAGCTGAAGATCTACCATTTGCCCAGCGTTGCAGGGTTGTATTTGTGAGCAGTGTTTGAGCGTTTGAATGTAAGCGTGTTTTTGTATGAAGTATATGTGTTGATGTATGGGTGTATTTGTATGTAAGCATGTAAGCTCATCGAGCAGGGCCCTCAACCCCCTCTGTTCCTGTACGTCAGTGGTCTGATCTCAATTATGTGTCTGTTGGTCCACCCATTGTACAGCGCTACGGAATTTGTTGGCGCTATATAAATAATAAAATAATAATAATAAAATAATAATAATAATGTACTGTTGACATTGGAATGTAGTGGTGTACTTGTGTGTAGTGCTTGCATCTGAATGCAAGGGTATTTGTATGTAGTGATGCATTTTAAATACAGATGTGCTTTAATGTGTAGTGTTGGTGTTTGAATGAAGGGCTGTTTATATATAATTTTAGTGTTTTAATACAGGGGTGTGTTTGTTGCGTTTGACTGCAGTGCATGTGCAGTGGATGCAGTGTGTGTATATTGTGTATTTAAAAATATATACAATGTGTGTTTGATTATAAGCATGGAGTATGTGTGTGAATGTACATGTTTGAATGCAGGTATGCATTTGTGTGTTGTGTATACACTTACACACACACTGAGACACATACTCATACAGTAACACACACGCATGCAAATACCCAGACTGACAAAGCAGTACACATGCAGGCACACACAATGACACGTTACACACACTGACACAAATACACAGACACTCATGTACAGACACACACACACACACACAGGGTAGGTGAGGGTGACAGTGAAGGTGAGGGTGACAGTGTTGTGAGGATGATAGTGTGGAGGGGAGGGGAGGTTGACAGGGTGGGGGGTGAGGGGAGGTGAGGGTGACAGTGTGGGGGATGGGGGTGACAGTGGGGAAGGAGGTGGGGTTGACAGTGTGGGGGATGAGGGTGACAGTGTGGGTGAGGTAAGGGGTGACAATGTGGGAGGTGAGGGTGACAATGTGGGGGAGGTGAGGGTGACAATGTGGGAGGTGAGGGTGACAATGGGGAGTTAGGGTGATGTGGGGGGAGGTGGGGTGACAATGTGGGGGTTAGGTGAGGGTGACAATGTGGGGAGGTGAGGGTGACAATGTGGGTGGGGAGGTGAGGGTGACAATGTAGGGGTGGAGGTGACAATGTGGGGAGGTGAGGGTGACAATGTGGGGAGGCGAGGGTGACAATGTGGGAGGTGAGGGTGACAATGTGGGGAGGTGAGGGTGACAATGTGGGGGAGGAGGTGAGGGTGAAAGCCATTCAAATACCTTTTTCTGCAGTCCCTAGTGATCCAGTGGTCTCTTCTCCTTCCTTCCTCCCTGGTGGTCTGGTGGCTCTTGCTGTCCGGTCTGCAGCTTCCCCTGCGCCGCGGGCAGACCATGCAGACATAGTCTCGCTAGCTCTGGCACGTGTAGTCTCAGAGCATTACCGCGGTAATCCGCGGTAATGCTCTGTGATTGGCCGAGCTAGCTGACAGTTACTGCATGGTCTGCCCGCGGCGGAGGGGAAGCTGCAGACCGGAAGGTGCGCAAGTATTTCTCCCCATTTCAGAGGACCCCTGAACCCAGTGGCACATATTGCAAGCCCCTGGGCACCCTTCGAGGGTCTGACTGTCTCCCGGCGTGGGTCAGTGTGATCAGCCGGCGACCCACAATTTGGGAAACCGTGCAATATGGAATTAACTTAAAGGAACACTATAGGGTCAGAAACACATATATTCCTGACCCTATAGTGTTAAAATACTATCTAGCCTCCCCTGGCCCACCTTGCCCTCCTATATATAGTAAAATGTTACCTTTATTCCAGTCTGCTGGTGTTTGCTCGGTCCCTGATCTGTCTCCTTTACTGACATCATCAGAAGTGATGATCTCAGCCAATCACAATGCTTTTCCATAGAAAAGCATTGGATTGGCTGAGATTGTCAATTCTGATGATCTCAGCCAAGCCTGGCCAATCAGCATCTCTTAATTAGATGCTTTGAATCAATGCATCTCTATGAGGAAAGTTCAGTGTCTCCCTCTCAATTAAGTTGTTATGGTGCCAGGATGCCCCAGAGCGTACTGTTACCTTCAGGGGTTAAACCGTTCTCAAATGCTTTGTCTCACAAGTACAACAGTACCCCCAATATACAGGTTTTATTTGATTTTGGTCAGATATAGGCCTTACAAATGACATTAACTTTTACCAAGATAAAATAGTACTAAAAATCCTAAACTATGTTGTTAATTACCTAAACCACACTTCCAATAAAAAGGAATACTATATATTTTATGCAAATACTATATGCTACATGTACAAGAAGATTAATAAAGATTGAACACAAATAAATAAATATGCAATACAAAAAATCCTCTCTATTAATAAAACTAAAATAGAGACATATAAAATGTAAGCAGAGTAAAAATAATAATACAATAAAATAACTGTTCCTCACAATAAATCTGCCTATTAAAAGTTCAATTTTTGGATGTACACATTGAAGTTAAAATTAGTTCAGAAGTGAGTTGTCTCAAAGTCTCTTATGACAAAGAGTAAATAGTCTAACAAACCATTAATATAAAGAGCAGTCAGAGTGATCTTAATGCAGCTCCAAGAAGGTAGGAGCTGTGTTACTCGTTTTGTGATTATTCTGCTCTTACTAGAGTTGCATTCACTTGTTCAGGTGGCTCCCTAAAGAAGTGAGTGCAACTCACGAAACTCATCGGAACAGAATGATCAGCTTTCTGCTCTTGATTGTTTTATTTTTGTATTTTTTACAGAGAGAGATGAATCCCAATAATTTACTTATGGGGCAAATACAATACCAGGTTGCTGAAAAAGAAACTTCAACACATGACAGGTCGGGTAAGTATAAAATCTACTTAGTGTACGGTTTACTATTGAAATATTGGTGAACATTGTACATTGCAGTGTTAATTTTGACAGCAAATTTCGTTTTAGCCATAGTCTTTTGACTACAAAAAGCCATTTAAGTTTTAGTCATATTTTAGTCATCTGAATTGTTTTAGTCAACTAAATCTCCAGTAGATTTTAGTCTACACAACTAAACTCTAATGGGTTTAGTTAAAGCCTCTATCTGTCTCTTGTGCCCCTTCCCCAGTCCCTTTGTGTCTCTTTGTCACCCCCCCCAGCTCATCTAGGTGTCTCTCTTCCAAGCCGCAGTCTGTCTCTTGCCCCTTTCACAGCCCCTCTGTGGCTTTTTGCTCCCTCCCAGCCCCTCTGTTTGTCTTTCTCTCCATAACCCGATTTGTGGGTGTCTTCCCCCCAGCACCATGTCTTTTTTCACCATCTCCTCTCCCCACGGATCTCATTCCCCCGGCTCCCATGTGTCTCAATTCCGCCCTCAGCCCCTCCACGTTTCATTCCCCCCAAGCCTCTCCATGTGCTCATCCCCCCAGTCCCTCCATGTGTCTCATTCTCCCAGCCCTTATTGTGTCTCTTTCTCCCAGCCCCCTTATGTGTTTCATTCTACCAGCTCCTTCAATTGTCTCATTCCCTTAGGCCCCCATGTGTCTCAATCCTAAAGTTGCCCATATGTCTTATTCCCTCAGCCCCCCATGTGTCTAATTTCCTCTGATCAGCCCCCCCCCCCCCATGTGTCTTACCCACCAGTGTTAATGTTGGTGGCAAATTTCTATTTAGTTTTAGTCATAGTCTTTTGACTAAAAAGGTATTTTAGTATTAGTCATATTTTAGTCATCTGAATTGTTTTAGTTTTAGCAAGTTTTAGCCAACTAAATCGCAAAAAGTTTAGTCGACTAAAATTGTTAGTCGACAAAATTTAACACTTGTACGTTGGGAACTTTGACCATAATTTTTTCTTATTTTTATTTAAAATTTTGAAATCCCAGTTTTAATTCTTCATAGATCCCAGTTTTCTAAATAAACCCATTAAGTCGTATATCCTTCTTCCTCTATTAGTTCACTTTCAGATATGATATATACCATATTTTTAAGGCCAAATGGGACTTTCTTATATGTTATACAATTAACATATCGCTTGATATGAATAAAAAAAGTGCATTAGATTCTACCATTTATCTGGAAGTAACAGGACCAGACTTAAATTATGCATTTTTACAGTTTCTCTCTCTTCTAGTTAACCTTTCTACCTTCCTTCTATAATTGCCTCCTCTATCCTACTCTTTCCTCTATAGCGTTTTATTGTAATATTCACTTTCTTCTGCCATTTCCATTATATCCCTACCTTCATTCTATATAGAGTGTCCCGTCAAGGTTATCAATTTAGTCATTTAACGTTTGCAAAAGTAATGTGAGGATCATATATCTCCCTTTCCCATTTGTGCGTATGGCCAGCAATTTTGTCTATTAATATGAAGAGTCCAGCGTTTTTGGTCCAAGGTCATGGTGTGGAAACTAAAGAGGTAATTGTGGGAGGAGAGATATGGGTGTTTAGTTTGCATGTAAGCAGCAGGTAATAAGCACTTTTGCTGTAACTGTCTCTCTAAATATCTGGTTTGACTGCCTTTAAATGAGATGTTTTGCCCTCTTACAGAAATGGTTAGACATTTTAACTGCACGGTGCAGGCGTACATGAAGTTTGGGTAGGCTATACACAAGGCCTAATGAGGAGGGCAGACATGTGCCCTGTAAGATGATAGTTTCTTATGACAAAGGAGGGGAACATAAAATGCAAAAGGGGAACATTGGTAAATTGCACCAAGAGCATGTATAAGCAACATAAGGCACAAAAACATTACAGGTATTAAAAGAGAACTGTACATCAATGTAAATAGAAACCAACTTACCAGAATCCAGACCACCCAACTGCAGCCTTTGGGGGAATCAGTCCCATATTAAAAATGATACAACTAGTTCGGGGTCCCAATCAGCGACTGTGGTGATCCATACCTGTAAACTGATACCAACATGAGATTTTGTGAGTCCAATTAGCAGTCAAATAGGTCATGGCCTTGTGGGTAGTGAAAGACTTTACCCAGGAAGGACAGTAAGTAGAATACTATGGATGAAAGTAAGTAGGTTGTTTCCTCTGTCAGAGCATAGAGGTTAGGCTGCAAGACTGTCAATGGAGAGTGGAATCTGGAAGACAGAGGAGATATTTTCTGACTGTTTTCAATTCCAGTGAGAGCTTAGGTTCAGCTGAGGCTTGGTTGGGTGCGATTCATGACCTTTACAGGGTGTGTCCCATTATTTCAATAACGTCAGACTTCCTTGCGGTGTTGTTACCACTACCATAGATACATTTTTTGGAGACCAAACATTGATATGATATTTGCTAGTTTTGTAAAGCAGACGTGACATCAGATAATTCCCTCTGAAATGTTATGGTAAATTAGGGAAGGTTTGTATGTCTGTGAATGCATTCAGGTGGGCAAACCTAGTATTCAGAGTGTTTAGCGGACGTAGATCTTCTCAATCTGAGCTTTAGTGGTGTAGTAGTGGATGCAATAGGAGGATTCCATGGTGTCCTAGGCAGGTTACTGGTTTGAGGCCACCTGTTCATTGTTCACATAGGGATGGTGAGTGGGGCCAAGGATATTCATGGCTCCATGGTCCCTGTCTAATCCCTGGCTATAGGCAGCCAACTAAAGTCGGCTTGTGGTTAATCCTGGGTTATTAAATAAACATTTTTCCTGCTCTGTAATCATAAAATCAAAGAATGCTAAAAGAATAATATATTTGTGCGTGATTTTATATGGTGGTTATGGACTTTCCTTTTTATGATATGGCAACCATATTTTAGAGCACTGTGTTAAAAGAGATAGTTGCTGAGCAGGTATGTAAGTTTCATTACAATTGTGCTCAGAAGAACACAGTAACATACTGAAAGTAGTCGATAATTTGTTGCTATGTTTCCACAACAGATCTCACCCTTTTAGTAGATGTCGCCTGCAAGGAGGAACAGTTTTCAAAAGAGAGGATCATAGAGGAACATTTATGAAGTCATACATTGTGACAACAATGCCAGTTGAGGGTTAACATGTTTCAATGGTACCTGCTAGCCAAACGCTTAATAATTACAGTTAATGTTGTGGTACTTTATGAAGAACTGTTACAATACTTTTATGGTTTGTTTTGGAATCACAAATTATTGGGACACTCTAAGCATCAAAACAAATTTAGCTTAATGAAGTTGTTTTGGTATATAAATCATGCCTCTGCAGTTTCACTGCTCAATTCTCTAAATCACTTTTGTTTTTTGTTTTTTGTTTATTCAGCCTTAGCCACACCTCCCCTGGCTGTGACTCAAAAAGCATCCATGAAAAATAGGGTTTCATTTTCAAACCAGTCTTACAACACAAAGTGTTTACTTTAGAAGTCTTTATCTCCTGCTCTGTTAATTGAACCTTAATCACACGCAAGAGGCTGCTGCAGGCTCTAGCAGGTAATTAAGAGAGCAGGAAATAAGACATTTTAAATTAAACACATTAGGCAATAAGATAAAGAATGTATACTCTTTTCTTTTCAGGGACTGGGTATGGAGGCTGTGGTCACAGCCAAGGATGTTATTATTCTTAGCATTTAGTTGTAGCTAAGGTTTCATAAACAAAGTTATTTAACTCCTAAATGGCAGAGAACTGCAGAGGCATAATCTGTACTCCAAAACAACACTATTACTATAAAGTTTTTTTAGTACTTAGAGAGTTTTTAAGTCTTTACAGAGTATGTTTTGTTATATAGGTTTTTGCCTGGTCTTACAAAAACTAGCAAAATATGATTCTACAGGTTGTTAGAAATATAAAAATAAAAGGATTTGTTAGGAGATGGATATATTAAAAGCTTATGACATTCACGGTAAGTTAAAATTTTAGCTATCTTTTAGGGAATATGGTTTTCTTTAAGGTTTTCAATAAATCAGTACTTTGTTTAGAATTGCGTTTGTTTTGTAAATGTATTTATGTGGGAAACATTTTACAATTTTAAATGAAACATTTTTACAAAATGTAGACATGCTGTACTTACTCTTTTTAAACATGCTTTTATTCAAAAATATAATATATTCTTTTAAAAACTATAGAAAGTTTACTATTTGTAGATATATTTTATTGGCATGTGGAATGCAAAGTGTCACTTGTGTATTTACCAGGAAACTTACTTATTTACTTTAGAATATTGAGAATTATAATTACAACGCTTACTCTGGGAAGGCATTTAATGGAAAAGACTACTGAAATTCAATGTGGGCTAGTGATCTGTAGAAAGGACTAGTGGTATAGTTAGCGAGTGGGCTAGTTAAATGGGAAAGGAAAAGCAGGAAAACATGATTAGGAAGGAGGCAAGTGTCTTGATGAGGGAGAAGGCATGTGACATTGTGATATTAATTACCCCCTTTACCTTCTAGTACCTCCTAAAATACCACCCTCCAGACACACAGGTGGAGGAAGATGTGACGATAAGCACTGAGCTATAGAATATTTATTAAAATTGCAGTGTACGTGTTTCTCAAATGCTAGAGTCATGGTGTAAATAATACAGAGTTTTTTTTCTGACTTCTTTTCACAACTCATTGTAGTGTGTTTTACTCTGGTGTGAGCCTTAAACCCTATATATACAATAATATAATATATGATGATATTTTGATATGTTTTCTGCTCAAATAAAACATAAATGCACACAAATGTAATCTACTCAGAAGATATTTGTAGCGTCTTTGTTTCATTACACATTAAGATCCAAGTCTGCCAAAGGAGGCATCATTAAGTGACAACTGATATTCAGGACTTCTAAACAAACAGGATAAATAACGTGAAGATTACAAAGGTTAATGGTTATTTCAGAAGTAACTAAATCACAAAAGCAAATGTGATCTGTAATAAAGCCATTATCAGTTTATTGCTAGGTGTAATAAATATGTGCCATTCTTTCAAGCCCCACAAGAAATAAAACTAATTAGCCTTGCTTTAGGGTATATTAGTTGTGCTTTGAACATAAACAGCTTTACAGGGCTCTCTCACACAGTATATGTAATAAAACGGGTTTGGTATATCACCTGGACATTTTCTATCTATTAACAAGCCTCCTGTTTATATGTAAGATATCAAGATCTCTAAACAGCTTGCCCTGATGTTTATTCACTAAAGGGAGAATTCAGAGTGAATTTCTAAATTAAGGTCTATATAGTCACACTGGAAGCATAGCTGACTTTTTGACTGACTAGTTGATTTATTGATTTTTTTCCAATTAGACTATGTTGTTCTTAAATGTAAAATTTACTCTGAATTCTCACTTTAGTAAATAAGACAAAAAATCATTGTAGATAGCTGGTCAAAGTTTCACCACTCTTTGCAAGTTACAAATACTGCTCTCTGTAGGCTTGGAATGTTTACATTGAAAGCAATTTAAAACATATTTGGTTAGGCAGCAGACGATGGTCCTTTAGCTAGCTCCCTTGCCTCAATTGTTTTCTGTTATTTTCACAAAATATTGTGTGATGTTTTATTCTGTATTTATATATTTTAAAATATTTTACCAGGAAGGATACATTGAGATTTCTCTCGTTTTCAAGTATGTCCTGGGCCCACAAAACATTGCATTGATACAATAGGGTACAATAAAATACAAAAAAAATTATAAACAATATATACAAAATTTTACATAGAACAGGTAGGAAATATATAATCAACCATGACAGGTGCATTCTGTTTTGAGATATGTAGAGAGGGATCTCTTAAAGGACTTTAGGCTTGGGGAAGATTTGAAAGTGTGCGGGAGGTCGCTCCATAATTGTGGTGCCATGTAGGAAAAGGAGGATCGAGCTGCTTTCTTTTTTCTTCTGTATTTTATTCTGTATTCTTTGATGTCTTCTATGTACTGTGGCAAACGATATTATATGTGACTAATTGGAGCGAGATAAAATAAAGTATTTACATTTAAAAAAAAAAAACATAAGACAAAGTTGGGACTACTTTGTCTTATGTATTTTTGCAAGCCTGACACATCTTGACAGAGGGTGGAGCTTATGGCAAACTGCAAAGGAAGCAGAGTTTTTCTTAAGCTTCACCCTTTTTTAAGATCGTCCCTACTTTGTCTTATGTTTATTGAGAATTAGATCAGAAATTAAGAAAAGAAGAACATATTTTGAAAGAGGTGGAGAACCAATTGGAGAAAGGTAAGTTTGAGGTATCAGAGCCACTTTAAGTACATTCTAGTGCATAGGTATATATTCATGCTGTGGTACTCCATTCCTCCCAACTCCAACAGCCTGAGAATCGGGATGCTGGTGGGAGGGATGTAAAGGGGACAACCAGTCATAAAAGGTGCATGTCTGCCCGAGTTAATGGCAGGTCAGCCTGGTGTTAATACACACCAGGCTGCCTGTCCATCACTGAGGGCAGGACATGCAGGGAGCACAGTGGTTCTGCAACCAAGAGGGAGGAGTAAAATTGCAATGTAAAGTGATTCCACATTTAATTTTTTTTCACACTTTATAATTAAATATTTTTAAAATAGAGCATAATAAAACATAATATCATAAATCCTGGGAAGTGACAGTTCCTCTTTCAGCAGTGCATTAATAATTTTACGGCATTGAATTCAGTGTGTTCATGGCATCATTTGAAGTAGTTTGGGGCACACCCCAGCGCCATGGCCCTCTAGGACGTATCTCAGATTACTTTTCTAGTAAGGGAAGGTGATTTTTCTGTATTTCTTCACGAGGTCTGATTTTAGACCATCATACCATCATACCTGCACTTCTCACTTTGTATTTTGTTTACATCACACTGGTCAGTCTATTTCTTATAAAGCCCTGATCTCCATCAGTTGAGTTTTTGAGAGGGTGTAATAGTGTACCCAATGTTGTCAAGTTTTGAACAACTTCTAGAATCTGGGATTGTTTCAATGCTTTGGTTCTACAAAGCATTTCATCTGTATAATATTTTTTTTTTTCACTTTTACTACAAATCCCATAGGAAATGATGCATTTCTTAAAAATAAAATGCCTGAATCATATTAAATACTATAAAAAAATATACCAGCCATCAAAACATTCTTGATAATTATAAGTAGTGGTAAATAAAATGATTGGACCATTCCTCTAATTCTATGTACTGATGTTTGCTGACGCTTTGTGTATTTTACACAATAAGTAGTGTACCGCTCCTGATGGACGTTTTAGAATATTAGTTGGATTAGAAATTATACAAGTGTCATTGGTACAGTATTTTTTTGGGGGGGAGCTCATTTTAAATGATGGTTGTTGGCTGGATTTTACCTGGACCTCCTTTATAGATTTATTGCGTTTTACTTTAAAAAATGCAAATGTCTATTCCATGATCGTACAGGGTTTGAGTTCAACCTACCTCCAGTTCACTGCAATGTGTAAAGAGGCTGAATTGTTTAAAACAAATGTGAAAGCAATGAACATGTGAGCATGTGACATCACACACTTGCCCATGCGTCTAAATTCATAATAGGAATCAATGGATAAGATGAGCATGTGATTTGTCATGTTTCTGAGTCTGGTGATGTCACAAGTGATACATATGAATGAGAATTTGTGTGCACAGTACTTCAATGGAAGCTCTTTGTGTGCCATTCAAATATTGGGATATTCCTCCTATTGGCAACTATTGAGTTGCTAAAGATACAATAAGCTGCGATAGAGATAGATAGATAGATAGATATAAAATCACTATGTATGTTAAAGGGACATTACTACAGCTGAGTTTAATGATATATGTGCTGCCCTATTGGTTTTTGTTATCAAACCATTTAGAGTGGTCTGACAAACAACACAGCCCTCCCTGGCACTTATACCCTAGGGATTATGAAGTTTAATCCTTTTTAACTCAATAAACCTAATTAACCTCGCTTTAGGGTTATTTAGTCACTATTACTATGTGTTTGTTAAAATGAAATATCCCTGTTTATAATAAGAGCACTTACATACATTAATGTTTTTTTTGTTTTGTTTTAAAGAAAAATAGTGAATACACGGGGACTCCAGGGAACGGATTCAGTGTCTACTTACTTTTTCCTCAAATCTTCCCTCTCATTCATGATCTTCGTTGTAGAGAAAAGACACTGTATTGTCTGTTGACAGTCTTCTTTAATGTGGAACTCTCCTCCTCCTCCCGATGTCAGCGCTGAATGCTCATGCGCAGCCAGAGCCGTGCGCTCATTCAGACAGTCTGTAGGATAGCATTTCTCAATGCTTTCCTATGGACGTCCAGCGTCTTCTCACTGTGATTTTCAGTGAGACAACCACTAGAGGCTGGATTAACCCTAGTGTAAACATAGCAGTTTCTCTGAAACTGGTATGTTTACAGCTGCAGGGTTAAAACCTGGGGGACCTGGCACCCAGACCACTTCATTGAGTTGAAGTGGTCTGGGTGACTATAGTGGTCCTTTAATCTTAGGAATTTTACATGCACCATTGTTAAAGCATACTGTCATAATCCCCACTAACTGCCTTGTGATATACCACCACAGCGTCAAATTGCTATAAAAAGGATCTGTCTGTGACTGAATCCCTTAATATTGCCAGGAAACGTTTTACTAACTAAAACTACACTGTGGATTGAACCCCAATAAAGTAAGAAGAGGTTTTTAGAGAGCCCCACGGTTTGGAAAGGCACATCATTATGAGCAAAATGTTATTTTGACGTATTTTTTTCCAATAAAGAAGACGAATAGACACTCTTAATTGCCGTTACCATAGCTCAAAACCAAGGATGTGTTGCCTAAAATAGCAAATAAAGAACTCTTTATGAGCTTCAAAGAGATGTCTGTAAAAATCTCCTTTTGTCATTTTTGCCCCAAAGAAATGTCTACATTCCTAAGATAGATATGTAAATAGATACGTAGATATGAAAAAATTATTTCTTTCAGAATTTGAAAAAAGAAGCAGAAGTAAGATTAGACAAATGAATTCAGAGGTGTCAAAGCCACTAGCTATGGAGAGACAAATTAAACATTAAACAATTATTCATATAGCACGCTGTATGCAACATATAGACATTATAAAGTCATAAAACAAGTCTGAAATAAATAGAATATCTGTCATCATTAAAAACTATATCAATCGCATTTACTGCCTGTTACTGGTGAGTCCTGAAATTTGAGCAAATAGATTTCAGAAACCTTATTGAGAATTGAGGTGTTTACCGATGTGATCAAAGTGATATCGTGTTCTTTATTGGACAAGAGCTAGACACAGAAAATACAAACTGCGGAATATGGTAATATTTGAGATAACATAGTTTGTTCTTAAATAATTTGTTTCCATATATTGATAGCTTTACCCTACAGTTCAACGATCCTTCAGAATGGAGTCACACAGCAGCAATTAATTGTAGCTGAAGGTGTTCTGAAAAAATGTTTACAAGTTTTCAATGTATTAATAGCTAACAAATAAGGGCTTACTCTGCCTACTGAATAGCAGTTCCCTCAGTGCGGAACTACCAGCAA